AGTTTGAAATACGACACTTGCATCTATAATATGCAGCATCTGAATTATATATACATATATAGATCTCATTTCGGTGTCACTGACAGCTGAGTTCCATGTAAGTCTGGTACGGTTGTTCATTTCATATATGTTATATATATGTTTTTAGCGATACGTTTGCGGAGCGAGCGCTGCTGTCGATCCGCCCGTCCTACCAAGTGTCGGTTTGGGATTCCCAAGCTGCCCGCGTTGGGGGGGAGGGGGAGTGCAGCTGCCCTTAACGACGTGAGCGCGATCATCGCAACCTCAAATCTGGCTGGGCCGCTGTAGACAGAGAGAGCGACAAATGACGAGGCGTCAAGGCCTTGGGGGCAGGTGGCTACACGTTAAATTTTTGTCCCTTATTTTGGCCCCGTAGCGTCTCTTGCACATTGTCACCAAAACCTACGGACCCCGAGCAGACACACGAAACCCGCTGAATATGCCCATCTTGCTAATAATGATAATGATGATGGTATGGATCGCTTGCTACTAATAAGTTTAAGGGGGGCGTCCAAGGGCGGTTAACCGTTGCCTTTAATGCCCCAACCCCGCCCCCCACTCGTGGCTTACACGGGACGTGAATGGCGCTGCTCAATTCGGTTTCATCTGCCCGGCCTGGAACGTCCTCTTCGAGCTCCCTCGACACGGTTAGACTTTTTTTATATGTATCCTTGCAGCGAAATGCTCAAGTTTTTCGTTGAAAATGTTGGTCGTTCCGAGAAGACACACGCATAGCTTTCATACGAGACCAAGGTAACCCCTATAAGCCGTTTGATTGTGGAGATACGGCTATGCACACACACATATATATACACACACACACACCTGCGACCAAATATAAAGCTCATCTCCCTGTAGGGGAACCAAGAGGTAAGGGCAGGCACTGCGCTTGGCTTGGCAGCCACCCAAACCCCTCTGCAGAGCCCGGGTCATTTCACCGAAGATCACCTCTTCCATCCGCACGTCGTCTCCCGGATAAAGTTTTCCCGTGGTCTCACGTAACGGTTCGCGATGCTCGGCTGCCCCGCCTGGACCTGCCCCCCCTCGCCCCCCTGCCCTTTCCAACCCGCCCCCCCAACCCCCACCCCACCTCACCGCCCCCCTCTCTCCCAGTCCTCTCGTTTGCCCCTGCGAACAGCCGGGGCTGCCGAGCCCTGGCTCTGCACTCCCAGCCGCCCCGTCCCCTTCCCCCGATGAGTAATGGAACGGACGGTGCCTATTGGCAAAAGGGCGTTCTCTTATTCCGTTTGGGTTGGGCGGTGAATTTGGATTATATTTTGGGTTCGTCCGGTCGCTTACGCACGCGCGGTGGCGCCTCGTGTGCACCTCGTGTGCACCTCGCGTGCACCTCGTGTGCACCTCGTGTGCACCTCGCGTGCGTGCACCTCGTGTGCACCTCGTGTGCACCTCGCGTGCGTGCACCGTGCGTGCGTGCGTGCGCGGGCAGCACCGCGGTAAATCCGCTGCTGGATGAGGGCCTGCACGCTTTTTTTTTTGCAGGACGTCGTGGGGAGTTGATTGAGCATACTTTAACCGTGCTGGTCAGTGCGGGTTGGTGAAGGCGGGGAGCGTAGATGTTGCAGCAGAGCACAGTACAACAATGGATATTTGCCGCACTGCCCTCCGTTGGTAATGTAGCCCCGCAGCAGCGAGCCTGTAGCGACTGTTATGCGTGGTTGTAAAATCCATACATGCACGGTCCAGGCTCAAAATTCTGCTTGGCTTGACGAGATTAGGTGCCTTCCGAGTGATTCGGTCATAGTCTGCACGCACTTCATGAACTGGAAAACACCTTCACACCCACTGTCAATCCCAATGAAGGATGTGTGGTGTTGGGCTAATGCTTCTGACAGTGGCTCTCCGTCATTGCGCAGCTCACACATTAGCCAGCCCGTGTATTGTTCTGGGTACGGCTGTTTACAACGGTGCTTGTGTAAAGAATAAATGCACAAGTATATGCTGTACACACGTATATAAATAAAGCAAATTTAGACATTTAAAGTCTGGTGCCATTGTCCGCCGGTGTTTATTCAGAGACTTGTGGGATATTGTTGAGAGCCTCCCTGATCAAACTAACATCTTCCCCATTGGCGATTCCCAGCCATTGGAGGAAATTTCATGTTTTCTGTTACGGGCGCCAGTTTCTATTGTAAGACTCCCAAGGTGAACGTTTCACGAAGTGGTACTCAATTTATTGCCTCCAGAGGGAATGATTTGTTGAGTTGCCCCTGAATGGGATTTGAACTCGCAACCTTCCATGTGTGAGCCAAGTTCTCTAACCACAGTGTGAGTAGGGTTGGATCATAATGACACATATTCAAGTGGCTTATTATTACGTGTATTTAGTGTATACACATGTAACAAAGTGTATACATCACTACATATTACCTTTGAATAATGATGCACAAATGAAAATCCAGCTAGCTGGTGCTGCGGTTCGAGCACTGGACTTGCAAGCAGGAGGGCATGAGTTAAACTCCCAGTCGGGGAGTCAAATTAATCATACCTCCGTGGGGGGTCTATAAAATAAACACCGCTTTGTGAAAAGTGGATGGCGAACAAACTGCAAGGGCCGATTGCCCTTGTCGTAGGAACGGAGACAAGAGGAGACTCTCCGACCGCCCCACGACCGTGGGTGCGCGATTCGACCTCGTGCGCGAAGCCTAAAATGTTCATGACGAGCGCTCGCGGCTTCTCTGGCTTTGGCGCCGTGACCGTGTGATTGTGTGAGTGGCGCTGCTCGGGGCAGGCCGGCCGGCCGGCTGGCTGGCCGACACGCCGCCGCCGCCGCCTGTTTGTTCTGTCCGTTAAACCGGGCGCAGCCGTCATTTTTCGTGGCTTTGCAGCAAAGTGGCTACGTGCGTGAAACACGGCGAATATTGCTTTCTGTCAAATCAGAATTTATGGGAGGTAGGGAGGCAATAAGCTGGAGCGGAGGCTTACAAATTTGGAGGGAATTTGTGGCTGAAGTTTACATTTATTCTCGTTTAAACCCTAACGCCCGCCAATTGACATGAATAGGCCACCATTTATTTCCTGCTCAGGTGTGACGCTGCCGGGTGCTTTGTGAGGGACGGGGAGCGGAGCGCGGCTGCACCCCCGCCGGGCCACTCACCCCCCCCCCCCCCCCCACACTTTCCGGCCTACGCCGCCCAAGGGCAGCGCATTGAGGCCGGCCTCTCGACAGACAACAGGCGGCTTCCCGGAGGCCAGCCCTTCTCTGTCGGGCCCTTCTCTGTCGGGCCATTCTCTCCTGGGCTTGCCTGTGTCTAGCCATTTTGCGTCCGGCTAACCTCTTTGTGGTTTGTGGCCAGCTGGTATCAGGGTGCCCTCCGTCAGACCAGTTGCTATTGGGCCTTTCTCTGTTAAGACAGCCTTTTGTATGACTGGGCTGGTTCTGGCCAGCTGCTGTTGGGCCATCCGCTGTTAGGCTAGCGTCTGTCATGGCAGCCGCTGTTGCTGCAGCCTCTGACAACATTGCTTCTGTCAGTCAAGAAGCCTGGCAGTGCAGCCTCTATCAGAATCAGCCTTTGTCTGGTCAGACTCTGTCACGGTCAGCGTTCACATATTTTCTAACTAAGTATATTGACTGCACTGCCTCTTGCTTGTGCATACGAGTGGGTGGTTTGTGTTTTTAAAATAATACTTTCGAGGCAAGGTTGACCGAAGCAAATACGTAGCGTTTTGCTGTGTGGTGTGTTGGGTGGTGTAGTCGATGTGGCCAGGCTGAGACCGTTTAACTCGCTCCACTTCAGAACCTGCTTTAATGGCGAGTACCTGAATTCCACATTGGTAGCCAGGATGTCATCGGCGCTGACTCGGCACTCCGTGACACTTTCTGCTTTCGCTTTTCTGGCCGGAGGGACGAGTAGCATCTCTGCGTCGGACGGTCACCAATTTTACGACACTCGTGTTTTCGCTCGTAACAAGGGGAAACCACGCAAAGGTTCTCATCTTCTTAAAGTAACTCCCAAGTCTTCAATGGATTTGCCAAGCTGAACATCCAACTTGTAATGTTTTGTCAGTTTTTCTTCAAGTACCATACGAAAAGGAAGAGAGAGAGACTCCAGTCCTCTGACACACACCGGGATGGCCACGAGGCCATCTTGTGTTTTCCACCATTCCCAGTTGTATATAAAATAATCCTTCGCATTTTAACGGCGCTTGCTTTAAGTGCTTCGACAACTCACAGTGCCTTAAATCACATCTCATCTCAAACATTCAAATAGCTCGCCCCAGTCGCAGCTACCCATCTGCGGCACACGGTGACCGAGCACCGGCCTGTAAGCGGGCGTTAGTCTGCCAGTAGGGGGCGATGATTGCTGCTGTGTGGAGTACAAAATGAGTCGTTATGTGGGTCATTTTTCTAATTTGTCCAATTTGGACCGTGGCGCTAGCCACGCAGTGGCCTGCTCGATTCGAATGACACCAGGGGATCTTTAATGTGCGCTGTGATTCAGATGGCTCTTATTTATGGTGAATACACCTACAGTATTAACCAGGGAGGCTTGCCGGATTCGAACCGCGGACTCTGCAACGAGCGGCTAATGTGCTACCGCCGGACAGTCATTTTTAAATACAGAAACCTCAACAAGGGGACCTCCGTCCAGAATTTATGCCACCACCGCTTAGCATGCCTGGCTCCCCATTGTTTGTCCACATCCACGCGCCAGTCAATAGCTATCGACCAAATTATTTGGACGCAAACAAATCAAGCCATTAAGTTGTCTCCACATGATTTACACCTCCAGCGCTGGATGTAAAGGCAGTTATAGTTAATGGAGGTGGCGCGGGGCGGGTGGTGGCTTCTGGTTTGGGGATTAGCCAGCTGCTTGATGTACCAACTTTGGCCATGCGTGTGTGCGTGCGTGGTTTCGCCGGGATGCCAATTAATCACCGGGATAAACTGTGCGAGGTTGCAGCTGATGGCCGAGCGGTGATTTACACGTGTGCTGTGTTTCTTGTTGTCGTTGCTGCAGGTGACTCGGAGGGGGAGTGGACGGTGAATGAGAAGGACATGGAGGTAATTGGACGCGTTTTCACTGCCGTGCGCACCTCGTCACCCAAACCGGACCCCTCCCGCCAACGTAGTAGTGGCGGTGCCTTGCAGACCCCCCCGCCACCGATGAGCAGTCTGTACCGCGGTGCCTTGCAGAGACCCCCCATCCCCCACTGGGCGGCCGTGCCATGCGACCTCTCCTCCCCACGGAATCGTTGGATTCTTGGGTCGCGATTCAGTTCAAGAATTCGGTTATTATTATTATTTTTGCCTTGTTCTTACTGCTTTGTTATTGGTTTCCCCATCTCGTTGTTGTTCGTATTTTGTGTTTGACTCGGTGGCATGAATGTAACATCGGCCGCGTGATTCGCGTGAGCGCGGCGAGTCGGGTGCCGCACGCACGGCTCGTCGTCGCGCGTACTCGTCGGCGTCACGGTCGACCGATCGCGGCGAGGCGACCTCCCGCCGTGTCGCCGTCGCTGCGCCTGCCGCTCGGCAAGCTGCGGCTGGGCAAAGCTGCGGCTGGGCATGGCTGGCCGTCGACTGATAATCGATGCAAAACACGGCCGTGTCTCAGGAGTCTCTCGGTGCCTTCCTTGGTTGGCTTTTGTTTGGCCAATCGATCGGGCCAGCGTTTCTGAGCAGGTGGACTTGTCCTCCTTCATCGCCCCATATGCGTGCTAGGTTGCGGAAGCAACATTCGAGTTTTAATCGGCATCTTTATCGGAATCTTTATGTCGGCTGGGGGAACCCGATGAGCTATGAAGCTCTTTTTCACAGATGTCCAGCAGCGGCGTGTCAGCACGTTATACCGACAGACAGTACGAAAAGAGAAACGATGGGAATGCACAATATGTATGTGTTGAATTTCATTATGCACTATACGTAGCCAAACGTGCTAATCGGAGGTGCAGGGGAGGAACAACAAACCAAACACAGAAAGTCAGTTGTAAATACATTATTTTAAATCTTAATTTAAAAGTGCATAGCTCCAGTGGCTTCCTAATATCGGAAGGAAGAGCGTTACAAACCGCCGCAGAAGCGCATCTGAAAGCACGCGATGCAGTGACCGTCTTTGTTCGATGGTTAGCCAAAAAGCAGCTGCTAGGATTTCCCGAGTTCTCATGGCGGCTTATGCTCCTTGGCAAGATCGGCAAGGTGTGGTTCATTTGTGGCAAGCACCTTGTGTGCAATGAGTGCAACCTTATGATATATTCGCCCTGCAACCGGAAGCCAATGCTGCTCAGCGAGCTGCATTGGACATGGTTGGCTCTTGCAGTAAAACAAAAATAGAGAAAAGGTAAGCAGGTTAAGAGGTATAATGAGGCATCATGTTAGTCCGCCACAACTTGCCATTACTGCCTTCTCCCCGGCAGATCCCACAACTTGCACAGTCAGTACTCAGTCTGTTAAGACTGCTCTTGCACTGTTCACGTGCAAGAGCAGTCTTCCTTGATGTGGCCTTCTCCGTTATTGCTACTACAAGAGAGAGATGGCTGCCGGCATTCCTGGACTTCTGGAAGTGCCCAACCGCAGTCCCACGTTGTCCTTGGACACAGTGGAGCGGACGAGCGGGCGAGGGTGACGGAGCTCGGATGTGGCGAAACCAGCGACTGGGAAACCCAGAGCCCGCACATCCTTCCCGTCCGCTGGAGCAAAACGCAGTCCAAAAAAACCCACCGGCCCTTATCTTTGTACAAAGAACTGGTGCTCCAGCAAGTGGAAAGTGTTCAGTCGGAAGGTGGTAGCGGATGTCACGTCAGTCGGTGACGTCTTCTTTTTTGCAGCTGTTTGCAAGCAGTTTGTTCGCGTGCTAACTGAAAAATTGTGAATTCTGAAAAATCCAGCAAAATAGGAAGACAGTCGGGGAATCCTTGCTCCCTTGACATGGCTCCCAGTGTCTGCCACGTGGCTGCACAGCTCAATAGTAATGTGCATCTAAAATTGTTTTTCTTTAAGTGGCAATGAAGCGACGTGAGTTGTGGACGGGGGTGGCTTGATTGAGACCAAGAATTCTTCCGTGCGGTGATTAAAAACTTTTGAAGTAGCGTGGTGATACAACCAGTGCATTGCACATCAAGGGAAGCATGTGGAACACATCAGAAGCTTTTCAAAATCAAGTTCAAGTTAAGCCAGGTGGTGGTAACTCAAGAGACCAGGATGAATCTCATTTGCTAAGAGTGACCTGGGTCACTACAACAACAAAAGCAATCGCGTCGAAGCCAAGTACAACAATGAAGCGAATAGAAATCGGGGCGAAAACAACCAGGTTACCGAAAAAACTGAGAACTGTGCGCAGATGTAATTGACGTCGGAGTCCCCCGATAGTGCCGTGACGGCGTCCACGTGAACCGCGCCGGTGAGCTGTGAGTGGTGGTCAGCGAGCTGCTCGGCGCGCCGACCGCCACCGTCACACTTGTAGGGCCGCAGCGCCGACAGGAAACACATCTGGGGCCCGGCCACGCGGGACGCCCACGCCGACGAACACGCGCGTCACTTCGCGGCGACTCGCGTGCGCGCGTGTACGTGCGCGCGTGTGTGCATGTGTGCGTGGATGTGTGTGCGCGCGTGTGCGTGTGCATTAGTCTGTGTGCGGTGTTGAGAGTGGCGCCGTGCATCGTGCCGCAGTGTTCACCTGCGTGGAGGAGCAGGAGGACTCTGGTGGACATCCGCTGCTGTCGGTGCAGCTGCAGCGCCCCCACGCTCGGCTGCATGAGTGTCCACACAGTCACGTATCGCCCTTTCTAATTTTTTTAAGTTGCCGTGCTTAGAGCAGGATTATACACTTTGTTAGACGTTTGATTTGCATTTTTTTTAAAGGATGATTATTCACCTAAGGTCACAGTGTGAGCGTCATCCCACAAAGTGGTGCTCGCTCATTAGCACCACTTTGTGGGGAGGTCCAACAGAGCGTGTCCTGTGGAGTTACTCGACCCTGCCTTTGGAATGAGGAATTTCCACCTCTGGCTCGGGGCTGTAAACAAGCGATGAGCACCGCCGCAATGCTCAGTTTTGTAATTGAGCATTGCGATATATTTTTGTAAATTATATTTTGTCTGTACAGCGCTTTCACTTGATTTTATTGTCACGGTCCTATATCAATGAAGGTTGATGTATATGGAAACCATGTGTAGACTTTATAGACTGTTGGGGCAAGGCCGATTAGAGAGCACCTCTGTAATGCCAGAACGACCCACGATGGTTTGTTGTGGCTTGCATCAGACACATCCACCTGATTGTCTCCTGTGCTGTGATGTATGCAATGTGCACCAGATATACATGTGAGGCTGAGTTGACCTAGGAGATGCCCAGAAACAGCACACGTGTACACACGCACACAAATACTTGCAAAGACAAATATCTTTTGAATTTTGAATGGAAACTTTCGTGACTGCAGGAAATTCATGTTCTTTGGTTCTTTCGGTAAAGTCACGTAGATAGAAAAATAATAATAAAGTGAATAAAAAAATGTAACGAAAATATCTAGTTTATAAACATTTTTATTTATATATTTTTATATATATATTTTCACTTTATTATTGTTCTATCTAAGTGACTTTACCGAAAGAACCAAAGAATATAAATATCTTTTGCATAGGCTTAGCAGACCGTTGGAGCACATGAGGGGCCAGGTTGCCAGAACCACGCTACCTTTGTATCCCTAGTGGCTGTGCTTACACATCGCACCATGTGCTTATTTTACGCTGAGTCGACCTAGGGGAGGCCCAAGACCGGTTCAGATGATTGTCGCTGTTGTTGGCTGTGAGTGGGAATTGAACTTGGGTGTCACAAAGAGCAGCGTTATTTTAAGTTACTTGCATTGAAGGTCAAAATATCCCAGTGCAAAAAAATGAGTGTTGTTTGGTGCTCACATCCAATTGGTGGCCCGAGTCAGCGATGGAAATTCCACCTTACCCTGACATTTGCCAGTCTCTCCCCAGGGACACCAGCTGACGGATTCTTTAAAGGCAGTAATTTATTTACTCTGGAGGGGACAAATATATTAACATCAAATAGAATAACACATTTGGCCAATATTAAATGTAACGTTGCAGCTTCTTACAGAAACAAAAATCATAAATGCGTTCGAAATCATTTGCCAAAACACTTCCATTGCGAATGTTGTACAAATTCCCCCTTCTTAGGAACAAAGTGTGTTTTACATCTCCGTGGGCTGTCACCTGTTTATAAACATGTTAATGGCACTATTTAGCGTAATTAGCGTAGCGTTAATTAAACGTTGTTTCTCGCGCTCTGCTGTTAATTACACGAGAGTGTTGCGCCTGGAGCCGAACGCCTGGCTCCACGGGAACCGCTGTACGGAGCTTCAGTGGAACGCTCTGCAGAGCTCTACGGGAACGCTCAGCGGAACTCCACAGGAACCGCTTTGCGGAGCTCCACGGGAACCGCTCTGCGGAGCTCCACGGGAACCGCTTTGCGGAGCTCCACGGGAACCGCTCTGCGGAGCTCCACAGGAACCGCTTTTCGGAGCTCCACAGGAACCGCTTTGCGGAGCTCCACGGGAACCGCTTTGCGGAGCTCCACGGGAACCGCTCTGCGGAGCTCCACGGGAACCGCTCTGCGGAGCTCCACGGGAACCGCTCTGCAGAGCTCCACGGGAACCGCTCTGCGGAGCTCCACAGGAACCGCTTTGCGGAGCTCCACAGGAACCGCTCTGCGGAGCTCCACAGGAACCGCTTTGCGGAGCTCCACGGGAACCGCTTTGCGGAGCTCCAGCGGTACGCTCCGTGTAGCTCCAGTTGAACACTCCGTGGAGCTCCAGCTGTATGCTCCGTGTAACTTCAGCTGAACACTCGTGGAGCTCCAGCTGAACACTCTGTGGAGCTCCAGCGGTACGCTCCGCGGACCTCCAGCGGTACGCTCCGTGTGACTCCAGCTGAACGCTCCGCGGAGCTCCAGCTGTACTCTCCGCGGAGCTCCAGCTGAACACTCCATGTAGCCTCAGCTGTACGCTCCGTGGAGCTCCAGCTGAACGCTCCGCGGAGCTCCAGCTGTACGCTCCG